CATTTGACCTTTTTGTATATATGTATATGTATATATATGTGTACATACATAGCTATTTATGTATTATTGGAGTAATTGCCCTCAGTAGTTTTTCTGACGACAGCCATCACTACTTATGTACTTAAGTATTTCCAAACTATTGTTGGTTGTGTACACACCTTTGATCTTCATCGTGCTTCAGGGTCTGTAAAGCAAACAAGTCGGCACCCAACTGTCACCATGTTTTTTTTATTCACAGCAATAGAATATGTGTTGGCATAACAAACAATTGCTTTCTCACTTCAAACCCTGAGCGATTGAAGTTAAGACCTTATCAGCAGTCATGTCTCGTAGCTCAGCTGATAGATCACTGCCCTGGTTATCCGGAGACCACTGGTTCGAGTCTTGTCACTATCTAGGTATTCATTTTACTATCAATCACCAATACCTAAACGATACGTGCTGCCTTGACGTGGTGGCCGAGCTAACAATGGCCCAATGAGTTACACTGGCTGAAACGCTTGTTCCCTCAAGGTCCTACCATGCCAGAAAGGTCTTTTGGATGGTGGTAAAGCGAAAAGCAGTCACCTTTGTAGTGTAAATTGCTACGCCATGATGTGGGTCCGATGTCAAAGTCGTACTACTGACTATATGGGGTGTAACAGCAGTAAGGTGTTTCCCCTGGAATACCAGCAGTGCTGTGTTGGTGCTGCCTTCCTAATGGGAAGGGAAGATTAGAAAAGGTTGACCCCGAAAATAGCACACTCCTCCATGCCTCGCGGTCTTCCACTGCCGATGGTATAATTTTTTTATATCCAGCGTTAGAATCAGGTCGAAAACCAGAAAATACTGAAAGGGCTGTGGGTGACAGGCCTCAAGGATTTCCTATGGCCTCTGCAACCACATGGATCTCTTTCTTTTCCGGGTACCCTACAGAAACAATTCCCGTAGCTTACGCAGCCGGGAATTTCAACCGTCCTCACGCTCACAGTAGCATACAAGACCAAATCAAACATAACCTATTCTCTTCAAATATGTCTTCTTTGCTTTCACCTCTTGATACTAATATTATGCATCTTACACCTTCCCCAACCTCTCACTCTGTCTTTACCATTTTACACTGTTTAACCGATCTGGTTCGGCTTGTCATTCACGGGTTTGCTGCCCACATGCATCCAGATTCGTGCTGGACTACGTGCACACTGGCCTTGCGGTGATAAACCTAGGCTGCAGCGTTGACCCAGCAGATCGTGCGTCAAGATATCGGTTTGGTCTATTGGAGAACTGTATATAATCTATATATAACGATCAAAGCCATCGAAGCCTCATTCCTTCTCTCCTAAGACCGCACTATCGATTTCATGTAAGAGCTTTTAACATCCGAACTCTATGCCGAACAGAACAGTAGGCATCACCTGCCAAAAATAGGATCTCGAGCCATGGATGTATGGTGCGTCTGTGAGACAGGGACAGGGACCCGAATGTGGTTATTAAACTAACCTAACCTACCCATGGTAGTGAATCTTCAAAATTCACCTTAAGAGAATCTGGAGACCCAATGGCTGATGTAGGCATAGCAATGAACTGTAAAGCAGAAAGTCCTCTTCTTGACTGGAGACCAGTGAACAGCCGTATGTCTGCTGTTGGACTGAATAGATCTGTAAGAACTAGGAAAGACCGCAAGACTAGGCGATACCTATTCGTAACCTCCGCCTAAGCGCCCACCGACTAGATTTCGGATGATCGAAGGGATGAATCCTATCAGGAGCTGTCAACTTTACTACAGAAGGCCAAACATTCAAATGTAGTCATAATGGCAGGTGGCTGTAACACCCAAGTAGGGAAGCTAAGCCAATCGGAAAGGCATCTCGGACGTATTTACGGAATCCCATGCCAACGAATGAATAGCGGTGATCGTCTGTTGCAACTTTGTTCTGACTATCACTTGTTTCTGATGAACACTAATTTTGAGCATAAGAAGAGACACTGCCTGACATGGCGTCTACTGACATCAAACCAAACGAATGATGGACAGAGATATATCATATTGCTACGAGCCATGGTTGGAGAGTATCGGTGGAGGATTCCCACTCTTTCTGGAGTAGCAGTTCGAACTCCAATCACGCGCTAGTACTTCCTCGTGTTTGTCTGAGCCTTACTGATCGCATGAAAAAGGCGACAGTAAAGCCTTTCTATGGTCGATTAGTAGATGAGGACGGCAATTACGTATTTAGATAGGAACTAGCTAATCATTTATCTGAACGTGACAGGAATGCTCATCGTGATGAAATCTGGAGTTATATGAAGTCTGCTGTAGAAACAGTGGTAATGACAGTTGGTAACCCACACCTAAGGGTTAGCAAACGTCATTGGATTTCCACAATGTTATCCTAACTGATTGATGCGAGAAAACTGATTCCAGCTGGCTCTAACGACGATAAAGAGCATAAGCAACTCAAACTTAAGTTGATCAAGTGTTCACGTTAAATATGAGCAGTGGTGAGTGGCAAAAGTAATCGAGAGAGATAGAGAAGGCATCAGTGTTGGGTAACACTTGGTAACTGTTTAGACCTAATAAGAATATCGGCAGTGAGAACTCGACGGTTAATGAAACCATCATGGAAAAGAATGAGATGCTGATAATCTCTCAGGACAGGTGGCTAGAACGTTGGACAGAATACTCTGAAGCATAGCTCAAGTGATTCATAGCAACGCTTCAGTTGCCCAAGATCCGGTCTGAACCTGAATGGGACGTAGATGTCGGTCCTCGAACTCCTTGAAGTTGAGAAGGCTTTATGGAACCTGAACCGATGGAAAGTGGCAGGACTTGAAAGTTTGTCATCTGACATCTCCAAGGATGGAGGTGGAAAATTACTGACGAGAGTAATGGAGGTATTAGGTAAGATATGGGAATCAGGGGTAGCGCCGTTAAACTGGTCTACTTCTGTGATTATCCCAGTGTATAGGAAGGGAGAAAAGTCTTATGAAATGCATATGTGAATCAGTTTGACTAATATTGTGCCCAAGATGCTGGCGTGCATAGTTATCCGACGACTAACTTGATCTCGAAAACAGCAAACTTGAGAAAATTAGGCAGGTTTCACACCTGTACTTTGGTTCTGATGAGCTAACAAATGTAACTGCTCTTTTTTGAATTTTCGTTTAATCTTCGTTATGTACTTGGTAATAGTAACTAGTAGGGGAATATTCAACGTTCTTCTTTACATATATGACTCTCTTTGGCATCTATCGAACATCAAAACTGCTGCTTATTCATGCAAATCAAATTTTTAGGGTCAAAAGGTCGTGCAAGATTTTTGAAGCCTTGTGATAAGACAAGTGATGTATTTCGATCCACTTCCGTATATATTTTTGTGGTGTATATTTCATCAGTTAATAACAGATAGAAACCAGTTTTGAATGACTAAGAAAAATTGGTCAAAACAAGTGAAGGCATTACTCTGTATACTTGATATTCATACACTTGACCTTCTATCTTGTACAGCATTTCTCATAGATCATTTTGTCATATTAATTATTTTTTTAATTAGCCCTACAGTTTTATTTTTACGCCAATATTATTTGTTTGTTAATGGCTAGTAACGGAATGCAAGATGCGCATTTAATCAAAAATGCAAATCATCTGAATATACTTGCCTCCCAGTGACTGTTAGTGTTATCATTGAGTAAAGAAATCACCTCCTGTTATTGTCCACTAGACTACTAAATTACAATAGTTTACTTTGATCAACAAGTGTGTTAGTTTGAAAATTTTGGCCTTTCCTATTATTTCTTATACGGGAGTGAGTCGACCAATCTCTGGTGGCTACCATAGATTCCACTTTCATTCATGGTTAACCATTTTGCTGCAATGTTATCTTCAGCTTTTTCGTTTCTTCTTCAATACAGTCCTCAGAACATTTATTTCTTATTCTGCAACTCAGGCATTTGATCGAGTTTCTTTTATATTGGAATAGTGTGAGGCTATGAAAGTGAATATATTGACCAGTCCATGTGTTCTTTTGAAAAATATTCCTCCTAATATATCCATCCGTTTCCCTAGTGAGGAGGACATCTAGGAAAGGAATACTATTCCGTTGTTGTTCCTCGCAGTTGAACTTCATTGAAGTTATTGAAGGTATTCAAAAGATCTTCTTTATTGTATTCATTATTACAAATGATGAACGTATTGTCTACATACCAGCAATAATAGTCTAGTTTATCAAGTGTGCCGTTTTCAAGTTTGGCCAAAACGATATCCACTAGCGCAGGACCCAGAGGAGAGTCCATTGCAACCCCATCTACTTGTCTATATAATTCTGTTCTGCCAACAGTGATTTCATTGCACAACTAACACACTAGACTGATTATCATCCCACCATTCCATTCGACTTGATCTCCATCCACCCATAACACTGATTGTTTCAATATACTAATAATTATATATCATGCCTTATTTTGGCTATTGTATTTCACTTATTTTCATGGATTTATAACTGTAGAGCCTCAAGAAGTTACTGAAAACAACTGTTCGCTAAGATTATTCTTGTTTTGTTTGTTTGTCTTTTTACTGTACTGAATTTTTCTTTCTATCCTCTTACGAATTGTGATAGCACAAATTGAAGCATTGTTGCGCTAGATTTTACTGGGTTTTTTTTGCACTTATAGTTACTTGCCTCTTGTTCTGCTCCTCACATGGTAGACAAATCAGAGAGAATATTGTAATATTCACAAATTGTACCGACTTTTATAAATATTCTCTAAAAAGACGCCTTCTATGAGGCTGGTGAACGTGAGAAATTCTCTTCCTTTTTTTACTCCATTCGAAATTTCGAGATAATAACCTACTATCCATAAGTAGATCAGCTGTAGGTGTGGATAGTCGATTTGATTTGTATCTAACATTTGTTATGGAATTTGAAGAATCTGTTCAGTTTATGTAATGGGTTTATTTCTTTATTTTAAAAACGTTGAAATCTCATCCACTTTCAAAAAAAAAATAAACTATTTGATTATCTTAGCTCCTAGACCAGTTCGAGTGTATGCTGATGGAGCCTATGATATGTTTCATTCTGGTCATGCTCGCCAATTAATGCAAGCCAAGTGTGCCTTTCCAAACACTTACCTCATCGTAGGTGGTAAGTTATATTTTTGTATTTGATGAATTTAAGTGATATAGTTCAAAGAATATTTATGAACAGTTAAAAATTCGATGATTAACAGAAAGTTAAACTGATGTCTAATTTCACGTTACAGCAGTCAAACCAAATGGGTCATAGGTTTGAGGTTCACTCCATGTAAATTTGATATGAACACCAAGGTATGACGCCATCTGAAGTTAACTGTGAGCGTATTTTGTACAGTACGTAAAAATGTATAGTGTTAACAAGTTTCAGAGTGTTAACGAAATTTATGTTATTTAATCTGCATCGGGGTGTGAACATGAAAGGTTGAAAGTTTAAACAGCCTAAATAGTTTCAAAATACTCGAGTCAGATATCGTAGAGGAGAACACCTTTACGAAAGCAACTGCCTTTTAATCCAAAACGATATAGAAAGACTGAAAGTTTAAATAGGGGCGAGTAACTGAATAAAATCGAAAGAAAACAGTAAAAGTGAAGATGGAAAAATAAAAAAGCATTGGACATTCAAGCATAAACAAATTTAAATAAATAAATCTAGATAATGTAGTGAAAAAACGAAGAATAACTGAAAGATGTGATGTTTTAATGCTATATACATTCCGAACAATCTAGGGATTAATTACTTTGCTTAAATAAATAATGCAGCTATATGTGACACAGGTATATGTAGGCTATGAATCATACTTAAGGGCTTATAATAATACTCATTTGCACAGACCGAAGAAAGTGGAGCGAAATTTGAACCCAGAACACATTGTTTGAGAGTCGACTCTTTAAGTCAACGAACCACGCCTTCCAGTATGACATAAGTAAAATGAATGACTGAGTAGTTTGCGGCATTATAAACTGGATCAGTGATCGGAGTATTTGTATCATATCATAGACATTCAAGCCGAAACAGGTAATTGTCTTGAGAACCTGTTCTGAAGTCTTGGGTTGTAGTGTAAACTGAAAGTATCACAACAGCATCAGAAACTGCTTGTGACCAAACTAAGTAAATACACCAGCCATCCCTACCGTATCCTGAAATCTCCGTCATATTCGATTTCATACTTTCATATTCCTAGAAACACTCACTAGACGAAGGTAGTGAACAGGACTTCTATGGGAAAACTATAAACCCATGAATGTATGGTGGCAGTAAGAGAGTAGGAACAGGCTTTACCTATCTTCAGTATTACTAGGGTGTTTGGATTTGCAGATTCTTAATTGATTGTTTACATTTTTTTGGCTCTCTTTGATGCAGATGTTAGCTCATTAGTCCAAGGAATTGTAACTAAGGGAGAGTTGCACCTATATCTGTATTTAGCAGAAGTCTGACAGGTTTTGTTGTGTTGTTGTTCTCGAGCTTTAGTTGGGCGTACGACGACTATGCACTTCAGGGTCTTCGATACGATGGTAGTGAACCTCTACGTTTACCACAGAAAAACGTCTATCCCCTCTAGTAAACCGGAATGATCAACTGTACAAATCAGTCCGACAGAACTCCCTCTGATCCCTGCTTACCTTGTACCTCGCTTATTCTATTTATTAATTTTCCACCTTCATACTTGACGACAACTCCTAGTAGTGAACCGTCAAATCCTGCTGCTTTGCATCTTTTTAAGTTTAAAACCGCCTTATCCAATTGGATGAGATTTGGAGGACCGACATTTTACACCATACATAGGTTGATGCTGGATGTTGAACAACTGAAGCATTTCTGCAGGTTAAAGGAACTGTTCCGCCGAAGATTCTATCCATCTGGTCTGGAAGGTTATCAGAGAACTCTATCAAAAACTGTTGAGAATCGCTTAGAGATGATACCTTCTCTATCTCTTTCACTTTTGATACCCAACGCTTCACGGTTATTACAAAGGCTCTTAGTTGTTCTCACGCCTCGTCGTGATCATCAGCATAAACACAAGACCAGCCATAACTGCATAAGTTACCACACTTCATATCAACACATCAAGCAAGAACCCGTTGGAATCAGTCTTCTCAAGTCACTGAATTTAGATGAGGTTTCAGAGATCCAACAGCTTTTACTCACCTTTGGATGTATACTACTGTAGTGGGCGTTGCTGATCAGAACATATATAAATAGTATATGTTGAGAGGGCGGCAGAAATCTTAAGGAATTACCAGCAATGGATAAAGATTCTGCCCAGAGGAACACGAGAGACAATATGGATGTATTAAAAGCAAATCAACATCGAAGCATAAGAGTAAATGAAGCACATTATGCAAATGACTGTTTTAGTGGAAAGTGTACAGTATGTGATGACTATTGTGCAAGATTTCAATAATAAGCATTCCTTCCTGTGTCTCAGTCTTCTCGTTCCCTACACTTACTAGCTGTCTTCACCGCTGGCGTTACAGCGGAATGGTATACTGTTGATTCATACCACTATAACTTTATTTAATATCTCCGTCGAAACATACTGGTCAAGAAATCTACACTTCGTGATACTAATTGAAATGTATGTAACTTTCATGTCAATACTTTCTGTCGTCTAATTTGATTTTTAATTTTTTTTAAAAACTTTACTACAGTATCTAATGATGCTGATGTACATCATTATAAAGGTCGCACAGTTATGAATGAAAAAGAGCGTTATGAAGCTATTCGGCACTGTCGATATGTAGATGAGGTTATAAATGATGCACCTTGGTCTATTACAGACGACTTTTTACAAAAACACAAGGTAACTACCAGATTATTGTTTAATTCTGTTGACTATTAAACCTAATAATACCACTAGTCCGAATACTTTTTTCCGGACTTCATTTCATGTAACACTTTTTGGCTGAATCTTGTATCTTAGGATGATTTTTTTTCGATATTTAGGTCAGATTGGATGTTGTTCAACTGGCTTAAGTTTTGATTATATCTGTAGTATTTGTGTCGTTCGCATTTACAAGGTTTACATACATTGCGAAACACTCATCAGCTGTTTCAACAACATTCTAGTTGTTATAGCCTCACGTAGTCTCTTGGGTAGGTTAGAAAGCACTTTAGACTGCCTAAAGATTTAACACAAAATGGTTTAGAGCTGCGGCTTATTGGTTTAAGGAGATGACTTCCAACTGATGGGTCACGGGTTCAAATCCTGCTCCACCTTCTGATGTTTGGACAGCTAAAAAGAATATCATTAGCCCTCATACAATAAGTGTGGCTCGTTACCCATGCTTTAAATACGGGAATCACTATCGTATGATAACCTTGGTTGCTTCAATTATGGATTTTTCAGTGCAGTAACAAGCTTATAAATTGTTAGTGTTTTCAAACCTTACATTGGATGAACCAGGATACGTTGATAAAGATTTAATGCAGTATTTTTGCAGATAGGAAAGTACGTGACTAAGCATTTCTGATGAATAAAACAACATGTAGATATGGTTATACGAATTTCGATTTGATTGTATTGGTTTCTCATAGTCCCAAATACCTGTCTTTAACGAGGACATAGTTGAGGTTGTTTTCACATGTGTTACTACGTGGTCAAAATTATCACTGTTCTTCATTTCATTGGTGTTGGCACTCGATTGTTAACCAGTTGGCCACTTGTTCAGAACTTGCTCCGTCTACCGGTTGATTCTCACATGATAGATTAACCTCATAGACCGAAACCACCAACCCTTGCATGTTTGCTGAGTTGCAATGCATTGGAAATAAGTTGAATTGCAGTGGTGTGTATCCGCAGTTGTTGTAAGTGTTAACATATTTTTAAAACATTCAAATAGCGAAAAAACAAATAAGAAAGCTAGGTGTACATAATAACAATGTACATATGAAACTAACAGTAATTGCGTATCTCCTTTCTGCATTTGATTCATGTTTCATGTATACAGTAAGTGGATTTATGACGAGATTGCAGATATTCTCACAGTTACCAACTACAACCATATGCAATCTTAGTCCTATGTGTAACAACGACACCTATATTTCTATTTTGAGTGAGAACTATTGCGATGCCTTGTACATTGAATGTTTTTGTGAAGCGAACAAATGAACTATGCTCTAGATAGTATGCATCATGAATTGATATCAGTTGGAGAATCATTCAAACCTTGGGAACACTGGGGAGGTGTTTTTAAATAGTCTGAGACGTTTCAGCGGTGCGCACCCATGACACCCCACTAGAGGTCTCACAGGTCTCACAGCGAGCACGTTGCATCCAGCTACTGGGTTAGAATCCATTGGTACAACATTTTCCTACTTCTGTGAGTTGGCTACATAGCGCAACCATCATTTAATATCACTGGTAGGCATTGGTCATCACATTCTATATGGTTGACCCCATAAGTGATAACTTCTCATTAAGACTTCAGGAAATCTATCTTGAAACTAATGAACACTGTACAGTTACTCAATTGGTGGTATTTGTTATGAACTGATATTAGTTCGCGAACTATTGAAGGCCTTCTGGTGAGTTGAGCACCTCGATTAAATTTGAGCTTTTAATATGAATAGTTTCTCTTTCTGTTTTCCCCTTCATTCTCTAATTTTTATCACACTGACTGTTTATCTCCTGTGCCCTTGCATTTCTCGGACTAAAACATTCAAGTGATATATTATCCTCATAAAATTTATGCCATGTAGAATTTTTGTTTCACTATTACTCGGTATTTGCTGCATATTTCACTGCACTTTAAATCTTTACCACTACACAGTTGTTTGATTTTAGCAATGTGATAAAATATTTACCGCCCTAACCTCTGATACTCTGCAATTTATTGTGTTGACGATGATTTTTAAATCATCAAAACAATCCCGTTAGATAATGAAAAGTTAATGAAATACAATCCAATGAAGAAAAGCTTTCTATTCTCTTTAAAAAGCTGAACAATCCTAATGATCCTTACTTATATGTCCATCCATGTTAATGGATCGAAACAAGGTCATCAAAAAATATCAATAAAGCCAGAAGGCGATAACGACTCAAAAACGACAGTCAAGGTCATCAAAAACTCCTTATAAGATCATAGTAAGTAGACAAAAAAATTAATTAATTGTTTCAGGGAGACAATGATCACGACAAAATTAGAGATTGAATGTATCTCTTTTGGACACTAAGATCAGCCGTGTACCGCTGGATCGCTGAAACCTAAGTTGGCGAAATATTTGAAACTGAATCGTTGAAAAGAGAATTTTCCTCGCTGAATTCTGTTTCCATAATTTTTGGTTATCCAATTAATTTATTTCGATGGTTGAAAGATATCGAGAATCCCATGGCAGCTAAGGAACTCTCAGTGGGTTCCTTCAGTTTCCTGTTAAACTTGCTATAGCGAATACTACAATCAGTTCCTTGAAAAGTTGTATACAGAAACGTGAATATCCATCGTCCTAATCACATCCATCCACATCATCGATCGTACTCTGAAACGTCTCACTCTCAACTATATCGATGAGACACAATCTAGATTATACAAAACTGAAGGCAATATCTCATTTAGAGAGCATGCCTTCTATGAATTGTCAGATGATGAACCTGAAAATTTCAAAGACTACACAAATACAATTGTGAAAAAATGCTCAGAAGATGTAAACCCAAGGCTTATGAATAGTCTTAAAGCAACAAATTTCTAATCCCCTTTTCCTGAAAACTATGTGTTTAACTAATCTAATATAACCTTATCGGCAGTCCAATTCCAAACATTTTCGTTAGGCCCTAAGTTTTGTGATATTTCTACTTCATTAAGTGAACTTGACAGTAAAGTTCAGTTTGAAAGTTTAATGAAGCAGACAAACGATCTGATTCCAACCTCCCATAAGAGTCTTCAACAATTCAAATCAACCATTTTCAACTGCTCCCTTTCATTACATAAACGCAAAACTAAATACTAGCAGACTATTTATTGTCCAAAGAACACAAAGACCAGCTAAATGAACTTTCGACAAATAAGGTACTGTTGTTGGCTCATCCCAACAAAGGACTCGACCATAGTTCTGTTGAATTGCAAACACTATGCTGATAAACTGTCATGTATACTAGCAGATGTAAGTTAATTCTAGAAAGAATAGTATTAAAGAGATGCAATGGAACGAGCAGAAAAGTTGACAAAAATTTCGAAGAAGATGAAAGACAAATCAATCATCAGTGAAGAACTATTTGAAAACCATCTGGTTCAGTAATTCCTCGTCTATACAGTCTTCCCAAAGTTCAGAATACAGATATTCCTCTTTGTCCAATTGTTGACATAAACAGTTCACCATATCATGGGATTGCTAAATGGTTAGCAGAAATGTTTCAGCCAGTGAAGAATCAGATCACTAATTACAGTACTACTGACTCCTTCGACATTGTTCACTGTATAGGAGAGATCAAGGTGTGTGTTAAGCGTGTATTATCATTGGATATCACATCTCTCTTCACAAATGTCCCTTTGATGGAAACAGCCTGACTTCTATGTGATCATGTTGAGATCAACAAGCTTGAAATTAGGATTCCTAAGCATCATCTGAAGAAATCCCTATTTCGGTGTGCTTATAAAGTAGAATTTAGATTCAGTGATGAACTTTATCAACAAACAGATGGAGTGGCAATGGGTCCTCTCTTTGCTGATCACTTCATGTCGAGTCTGGAGAACAGTAAACTGTGTCCGTCAGTCGACCAGTTCCATCTATATAAGAGACACAAGGATAAGTCTTTTATCATCTGTGGGGAGGATAGCAACCTTGAATAAATACTACGAAAATTCATCATCATCATCCTCAACCTGAGTTACAAATATTTCCTATCGTTTCACTTAAGAAAGTTCAATGAATGTCACAAGTCAATTCAATTTACCATGGAAACTAAAAATAACTCAGAATTCTACTTCCTGGACGTTCTATTGAGAAGAAGAAATGATGGTTCACTGAGAAGATTGGTTTAAGCAAAACAATCCTGGAATAATCAATATACTCATTTTCAAAGCTGGGTCCCACTAGTCAGCGAAAGAAATCTCATTCACTCACTATGTACATGAATTAGAAGAATTTGTACAGATGATGCAGTAAATGAGGAGCTGGAAATACTTCGAAGAGTGTTAGTCGAGAATAATTGTCCTTCAAGATTCATTGAGAGGAACATGAGGCCTAACAGTTTCAATGAAGAACCCCCTACGGTTTCAACGAATATATTGTGCATGAATATTGGATTGGAAGGAGATACATTGGCAGAGATACTGAAGAATCGACTGCGCAAAACACTGAAGAAAATCTCCTTTTCTGCTCAGCTTTGGATTGTTTTCTCCAGTCAACAACTAATTTGAGGGTGTGTAAAGGATAAGCTATCGCTCTGGGTTACTTCCATGTATGTTTACCAATTCCCCAGCTCTTTTGAAGCTGATTACATAGACCTCATAAAGCGTGTTCTATGCACACGCATCTCCGAACACTGTCGTACATGGTTATCTGAAGGACAGTGTAAAGCCGTCAACGGCTCGATTTTTGAGCATTTTGTCATAAATGGTCAGTGTGCTCCACGCGAAACTTCATTCACAGTCATTTATAAAGTGAGTGTGTAATTGCCACCTCATTGTAGTAGAAGCTGTTGCAATTCAACAATTCAAATCTGCTCTTTGTGTTTAAAAGCGTTACACTCAATTTCTAATTTTGTCTTGATCGTAATCTCCGAAGACAGTTTGTTCACTGTTACTCGGCTGGAATTCATCATGGATTGACGTCGGTTGGAGGAACATTGGAAACCTGAGGGCACAGGACAGCTGTTCCGTCCTAGTATGGTACTCAGCCCTGCGCACCCATGACCTCTTCCCACCAGTGATCGAACCTAGATCCTTCAGATTGCGTAGCCAGCACGAAATAGCTATCCAGAGCTCTCAGGTTTCCGATGTTCCTCCAATTGATGTCAGTCCATGATGAATTCCAACGTGAAAACAATTAATAAACCTTTACAAACCTCCAAACATTATTCGTCTTTTTGTTTATTTACTGTAATCCTACAAGAAATTTTTGATGAGCTTGACCTCACCTTCTAGCCGTTTTCACCTTATGACTTTTAAATTCCTATACTCAGAAACCTTCGTTGGTGACATCTCAATAATTATTTCATGCCCTTTATGCATAACTATATTCTTGTAGGTGAGGATGGCATCACTGTTCTCTTAACACCGAATGTGTTGTATGACTCACTGAACAAAACTGTACATGGTTGGATTACTTTTAGTTGCATTGTTTACTTTGCATTCATAGGTTTATGGTTACTTTATGGCATGTGTTGAATAAACATTGTATATTGTAATGCTAAGTACTGATTGTGTGCCAATCGTTAATGCTATACATTTTGCAAATACTAAATTAAAGGTTTTTAAAGTATTCCATATTTTGTTTATTTGTATTATATAACAGCGATACGGTATTATTTACTTGATGACGTTTCCAACATAAGCTATTATTCCCCATAATCATAACAATGTAATCACACTCCTTTCGACATCTGAGTTTTATAGTCCTGTCACCTGATATTCTTTGTTTTTATGAGTGATAAAATTTTCCGTATCCCTGACATAAGAGTTGTGTCATTCCTATTCCGTATGTGCTGGGTTGGGCGGTGATTCGACCTAATTATATTGGACTCAAGTACAGTGGTTTTATCCCACCCTATTGTATGGTTGTCTGTTAATACATGCATTGCCATAGCCGAGTTTTTTTTCTAGATTAATGATTTCGTTGGAGTCTTTCATTCTACATATACCTAAATTCGTATGTTCCGCTATTCTAGCTGACCCCGACTGGCTAGTTTGATCTGAGTACTTGACCTCGCAGTCATTACATGGGATTTGATAGATTAGATTATTTTGCTTAATTAGTTCTATCGGATTCTTAAGCCAATCGAGTGAGTTTGTAGGTTTAAATGCCACCTTTGTTCCAGGTTTGTTGAGGATCTTGCGTAAAGTTTCTGATGTACCTTCCTTATAGGGTAACACAATGGAGGCTGTGAACTTCTTACTACTCGTGTTGTCGTTATTATTTGTACACATGAGAAACGAAATAATGACAATAACACGAGTAAAAAGGAGTTCACAGCCTCCATTGTTAAAATTAAATGTCGAAAGTAGTGTGATTACATTGTTGTGATTATGAGCAGTAACTTATGCTCGAATCGTAATCAAGTAAATAATACTGTATCATTGAGTGCTATAAATCAAATAAATAAATCTAATATGAAATTCAATTTTACCACAGTGCCCAAATTTTACACTTATATTTCTGAAGTATATTTTCCAATCATTTGTGTATTACATGTACTCAACATTTTGTAAAATTCCATGCGAAATGTTAATATACCAACTAGTGCAAGAAAAATTTTAATGTTAGATCTGTTTAAAAACCACTATAGTTGTTAAGCAAATTAATTATCCGGACAAATCGTTATAGGCTTTGTGTCTTTCATCACTTGTTTATGTGTAACACTAATCAGTATTCGATCGTAAGGCTACAAATATTGCTGAGGTTTGATTCTATCTGCTTAGAGATAGCAAAGATCGATATTCATTTAATGAACTTATAACTCCGAAATCAGTGACTTCGATGGATTTCAGTGGTTTGACGTCAACCTCACCTCTTTTGTCTGGAACTGGTTGGATAAAAGGACGTAGTGATCACTGTCGTGAAAAATATGTCTACCCGGTTATCATCTCTTGATGCCTCTCGATTCTGTATTTTGGTGTCTTAAGGAATTCATAATTTTGTTTTAGGAAAGATCAGAAAGAAAATCACTAAATCCCCACAAATCTTTGAATTAAATTGATCTAGTGCTCATTGGTGACTAGCTTCACGCGGTGTTTACGAAAGTTCCAATGATAGGTCGTGATCGATGAGGCAAATCTGGTGGACATGAGCACGAATACTCAACGATGACATTGGGTGATGGTCGCTCTATGTCGTGAACTGACAGAAGTAGGGAATGTGGGCGATTGGATCCCGATCCAGTTGCTAGCTGAGTGGCATCGTGCTAGCCATGAGACCTAAAGGTCCTGGGTCCGATCCCTGGTGGGGTGGGGTGGGGTCTAAGTGCGCACTACCGAAGAGTCCCATACTAGAACTAAACGGTTGTCCACTGCTCCCAGGTTTCCAATGTTCCTCCAACTAATTTCAGTCCATGATGAATACCAACTTGGAAAAATTACTCAATCCCCACAAACCCCCAAATTAAAAACATCAGAATAGGTTTGAAGACTCAGTCAATAGTCTCTTATTTTGTATATTGGCATCATTTTATGTTATGTATCGCATATTTTAATACCATAGAGTTGTACCATATTTTTTAATCAGATCTATTTTGTTCACATCTTGTTTTTTCGAAGATTGATTTTGTTGCACATGATGACATTCCCTACGCATCGCCTGACAGTGAAGACGTGTATAAACCACTCAAAGATGCTGGCATGTGAGTTTTCTTTTACAATGATTTCTTAATGAGTATGTAGTTTTTTTTTCCGACTTCTTTCGTTTACTATTTGACCAAATGTATTTGCTAACCTATAAATACAATTATCTCATGATTGATGACGAGTACTGATTGCATTTATTCGAATCAAGTGTTTTCTTAGTAGCAGTTACGTCTACAGTGATATATAATGTTAGAAGCTTTTAACTCGTGTGTTCTGATGGTCACATTGCTTAATAAACTTTAGTTTTTAGCATCAAGCTACCTGGTATCACTTCATGTCTCATCTCCATCACTACCTCAATTTGAGGTGCATATTATCTAAACTATACGTAAATGTAAATTGTAATCTCAAAAATATAGAGTAAATCTTTAGGTATAATGTTAGTTAAAGACTGACTGAGCGAAGAAATATATTTCTTTTCAATTAGGTCTTCATCTTGGGCTCTACACAAACATATAGGTTTACAATTTAATCAAATTACCAATCACGTGATGTTTCGGAAATAATGATGCAAATAATCAATAGAGTTACCAAAATAGGAAATATGAATATTGATAGAAACAAGAAGGGGAAGAGGTGTACAAAGTAAACCTAGAAGTTACATCATGTTGACGGCAACGGTAATGAAAGTGGTCGAACAAACTTCTTTTGGATATAATGGCTAGGTTTGTAAAGGTGGATTGCAATCGCCTCTGCTATGTGAAGTAACCGAGTGCGTAATCCATGGGGTAAATTATTTGGAATCTGATGGATTATTTTGAAGGCTTTTCCAGTAACCACTTGATTTCCTGTGTCAACTAGGTGTGCAAGTATGGAGCTCTTTGTAGTTCTAATTTGTCCCTTGTTCAACCATGATGGGTGGTGCTCAGAAATTCGACGATGGAACTGCCTCATTGTACGCCCAATGTAACTCGCTCCACAGCAGCAGTTGAATTGATAAATGCACACATAATTTTCGAAATATGACTTTGAATATCTGAAGAGGTTTTAGCAAAATAACACACTTGCCTAATAATCTAAAAAACTTTCAATCACTGGAGTCAAATGCTACATTTAGGTCAAGGAATATTCTATATCTGCTTTCTTTTCATACTAATGCGTCTGTGTCTATACTTGAAACTTGCCTATCCCACCCGAATCGTCCACTCTAGAATCCTAGTTGTAATTTGAACGATTTTAGACTAGGATACTGGACATATAGTCAAGTCGATTCTCCTGTGGTTATTATAAAAAGATTTCGCTGTTTATGAATTTGAATCATCGATGAATAATACTAGTTTGACCAAATCACTTCTGACTTCAATACTATGGGTACTACTCCATTTGAATTAACGACAGCTCTTGATGGTAATTTTCAAACACTTCTAAAAACGAACTGTCGCATCTTGTTATTTTGTTACGCTTCAGTTTTTGAACAATATTCACAGTTTCCGTAAAAGTTGGAGAACTGATATCTGCATCCCTTTCAGGTTGAGCTTCGATAGTAGTAAACTGAAGCATACTTTTTAAAACAGTCGAACTGTCATTCAAAAATGTTGTGCATAATGCCTTCTTCATCTCTTATCAGAGTTTATAAAAGACCCTTTTGCAGCTGCAGTTTCACTAATTGTCGCCGTTTCGGCACTATTCACTAATAAACCTTTATAACTCTGTAGTGTTGCCTACAGCTGGTGCCGTCTTTATCTCTTTCACCTTTGTCATGCATCATTGTTTGTGGTCATTATAAAATTAATTATGATTAGTTTACATGTAAACTATTCTAGTTCTTCATCGTGATCACAGGCTGTAAGGATGAGTCTTCGTGCACCAATTAATTCAAGTAATATGAAAATCCAATAATTTCCATCAACTTTTAATTGCAGGGTTACCAAGTATCTTAATATCTTTTTTCACAGTAAACTAAATATGGCTTTAAAGTACATCCCCGTACCATTGTGTAGTGTCTAGGTAAACTGCAGATTAAGCCGAGTGGGTGAACTGTTACTAAATTATAATCGCCAGGTGATTTTCTCACAGCCCAACTGAATGAAACAAAAATAGCCAAACAGCTTCTACGCTGGCTGGGAATACAGTAATATTTGAAATTGAAACCCAGAACTAGCAACAGGGAGAAAAGCATTAAGAAAGGTGATGTGAAGATTAGTAGGTAGTATATTATTTCTTATCAATAGGTGCAACACTACAGTTTAATCAACTCTAACAGTATTTATCATTAGTTTTTACATCAACTTTGGTATATGTACAATGTGTTCAAGCGACAATTCTCAGTAAAAGTTTATCAGTAATTTTTCACAGTAAACTGTATGTAAAAAAACTTTATTCATTTGTGGTAATCTTGCTTTTTTGTGTTCTTATCTGTTGAACACATGGGTGTGATAGTGTAGTGTGTGCCATTGATAAGAATGGATATCAGTAGTATATAGTAAAGGGATGGGCAGAAGTCATAGGTAATTAAGAGCGATGGGGTAAATATTCTACATAGAGAAACGCAAGAGATAACGTTGTCATGTGAAGAGCGAAACGAGGTAGAAGAAGAAGAGGAAACGAAATGCATGAGAAAATGAATATTTCAAACGAAATGTTGCCATAATTCCCCAGTAAATGATAAACTTTCTTCTGCGTTTCATCCTTTGCCTTCCCCTTACAATAGTAGTAGAAGTTGACCTTTATGAGTAGACTAAATGATGAGCTGTAGCTTAAACAGTAAGTGTTACGTTTCCTGTGCATCTTATTATTTTATAAGAATTTCTGAAAGTCAGTATTACCTCTAAAAGTTCTTTTTATTACCTCAGTTTGTTTGAGAATTTAGTTGTACTTCATAATAAAGATAATGATGAAAAGTCCTGACTGAGCAGCTAGTATGAATATGATCAGGCGGTAGTAACGCATCACAAATTCGCATGGTAGTCAGGCAAAACCCTTGGTGATTGAAGTGAAATAAAAATCTGGTCAGTAGTCAGACTTCGTAGTTCATTTGGTTGAGCATCGCGCCGGAAACCCCAGGGGTCGCTGGTTTGAGTCCGGTCACGGTCCAAATTTTCATTTCACCTTTAATCACCACTCACTATTTCGTATATGCTGAGCAATGTTCATTATCTAGTACAGTGGAGATAATCTTCATATCGATATCACTTAAGTCAAACTTTTAGTTAATACTTTGTTTTTAGCATTGCTAGGTGGAGGTTTTTGATATCGTTCGGTCACAGACATAAGTGCATGTATAGCGTTCATTAGTGACATGCTTTTAGATGGATATCCCGAAGTTCTTATGAGAAGCTGTGGCCTATAGGGTCAACTAGTCGGAAGGGAAGCGGATACTAACTGAAGACCTTGGGTGATAATCACACTATGTCACAAATTGACAGAAGTTAGCAACTGTGAAGCACCGAACTCCGACCCAGTGGCTGAGTGGTTAACGCGTTCGCCGTGAAACTTGGAGGTCCTGAGTTTGGTTCCTGTCCGAGTTGTGGGTACGTGCTGCTAAAGAGTCCCATACCAGGACGAAACACATGTCCAGTGCTCTCAGGTTTCCAATCATTCTCCAACTGATGTCAGTCCGTGATGAATACTACATCTGGTTATTATAATTTAAAGTCCGTAATGAAATTAAAAATGTAATCCAGCAATCATATGTAGTTTTGTGCATTTGGTTTCACCTAATGTGTAGAAATTGTAATGTTATCTGGCTGTCCAAACCTCTGTAGGTGAAGTTGGGTTCCTTGGGTTGTTGGTTGCTATTCGATTACTTAAAGTAATGGGCTACAGCCCGCCGTCAACAGTTGTCTTCAAAGCCTAACTGCAAAAATATCGAAAAACCAGATTTTCGTTCAATCAGCGGCATGTATGTATCCATTAACTATGCAGATCATTAATGAAATCAACGGTCATTAAAATATAAATAGTCTTTACAATAGATTTGTTTACTTGATTATAGCACACACAGTTGTACGTTGTTATTAACTTGACGTTTTGAGCCTAAATTTATGCTCGTAATCACATCAAAGTAATCACATAACTTTCGACGTCTTGTTTTTGTATTCCTCTTATACTTCATATTCTTTGTTTTTAGTGGTGGTAGAATTTTCAAGATCTCCGATATAGGTATTACGTCATCTCTATCCACGTGTGTTGGGTACTGATCCGATGAAAAAAGATTCGATAATCAATCCCTCCCTGCACCTAACTGTATTGGACTTTAGTACAGTTAAATATCAAGTTGTGTGATTACTTGATATAATTGATTATGAACGATAATTTGAGGTTAAAATATCATCCAGTAAATACTTTTTTATCACTGAACTGTACTAAATAAACACATCGGTTATGAAATTACATTTCACCACACTGCCCAGATTTTACACTTCAGGTAATACAAGTTGTTTAACTGAAATAGCATCAGTAAACTATATATCACGCAGCTAATAAGTTCAGATAGATGGATTTAAGACTATTTCAAACAACTCAGTCCTTTTTGTGAATGTGTTTAAACATCTGTTGGACTGGTTGACAAAGTAGTTTTATAGTTACCGAAAGCAGTAAATATTTATTCATTATGCAGATGCCTGCTTGAAGGCTAGCAGTGAGATCCGGAACGCGCATCTTTTTTGGGAATCGTTAGCTGGGTATACCTGCATCCCAGTGAATGTCGCGTCACTGAGACTCCAGAAGTATCAAAAACCACAAGTGATACCCGTTGCACAAGAGGTGGCCCTCGTGCCTCAGCGACGTAGTGGATAACTCTTTGGAGCTTGAAGTGATAAGTACTAGGTTCAAGTTTCAGTCAGAACAACATTCACCGGTACGTAGACACATCCATCTGACGACCTCCAAATGGGAGTAAACGCGCGCCCTGGATTCCACTGCTAACCACCAAGCAGACATCAATATAACGAGTAAGCAGGTAGTATCGAGGCATCCGCACTAGAGCCCAACTACCAACAGAGATCGAGTAATTTGACCCAGGAAAGCAACGGACTTTGTACGTCTGACTGTCTGC